ATAAATTATTCTAAATTGTATACACTACCAGTCAAAAGTTCAAAAAAGTTCTACCAGTTATAATAAATAATTATGTTTTTGTAATGTTGCTGAACAAAGTCTCTGCTCACCATGCCTCCATTTATTTGATTAAAAATACACTAAAAAACAGTAATATTGTGAAATATCATTACAATCTGAAATAACTATTTTCTATTTGAATTTATATTCAAATATAATTTATTCATGTGATGCAAAGCTGAATTTTCAGCATCATTACTCCAGTCTTCAGTGTCACATGATCCTTCAGAAATCATTCTAATATACTGATTTGATGCTAAATTAATACTAGTGCTCAGTTATTAATAATGGTTCTTATTGTTATCAATAATACTGTTTTTGCTGCTTAATATTTTGTGGAAACATTTTTTTCAGGATTCTTTGATGAATAGAAAGTTTAAAAAAAAGTGCAATAGGTGATTGTCTTCAGAAACATTTTTTGTTATGCTGGTTGAAAGTCTCTTCACATCCCCATAGCAATCATTAAGTTAAGTGGTCTAAATGTATTTGTCTGTATTTATATATTGTGCGGAAGGCGTAGGACCAAGAAATGTTCGTCCAATCAAAACGCTCGGTCCGAGCGTTTTAATTGACTTTCTTACCTGCCTGTCAACGTAAGTATCTGCATACCTCTGCGCACGCGGTTCGCGCAGACAGGATACGCAGACAGTAGGCTTGTTTGAGATACGCCTCGCCTTGCCTGAAATGTTGGTGAGAGTAGGCGGCTGCAGTGAGGGGAGGAGTGAAATAAGCGCAGTCAAGACGGACAGTTCTGCCCTCTCGAAGTGGAACAGATACCAACGAGATCAAAGGTGGATATCGCGTTATTCTCACTCACGTGCTGTGTTGCTTATAAACATGATATAATTTCAGTTCTGATACCTTTATATGAAAATAAATATGATGAACAAGACACTTAAAGTGCTTGCTATTTCATCTCGCGGTGATCGATTCTGCGCAGAATTTGCTCATCTAAAACAAGCCCAGTGCGTTCACACACACTGTGCAGACAGAGCGAGAATGGCAGACGAATGCCTTGTCCAAATACCCACACTTGCGGTCTTGGTCTAGGAAGTAAGTGCGCAAGACTGTCCCAGGTCTTAAAAACGGCAAAGCGCCGTGCGCTTAACCCACACTAAATCCACACTATCTCGAATACCGCTCCGGAACGCTATTCGAGGGTTAGTGTATCCCATCATGCATCATGTTCTTTAAATAAATCGTGAGACTTTTTGCCGAGATCTCGCGAGAGGTCACGGAAACCTTTCCAATGCAAGATAAATATTAATATACACACACTTGTGGTCTTCATCCTCACTTGAACACGGGCCAAATACAGGAAATACGTCATATAAGTGTTCAAGTGGTGAAGTGCAAAGACCGCAAGTGTGGGTATTTGGACAAGGCAAAACATCAACAACCCGATCTTCCTTCCTGGTATTGTAGTACTTTTCAAGTTTTCTCACCGGTGAATGACACATGATGTAGCCCAGCGGTTCTCAATTCCAGTCCTCGCGATTCAGATAACCAGCTCGTTAGAAGTGAGCTACGTGCATTAACTGTGTTCCGATCCATATGATCCCTACAGTGTTCATTGCTCCCTCCTCACTGAGCAGGGGAAATCCATTGAAGTTTACTTCACTTCGGAACATGGACTGGAATTGGGAACCGCTGATGTAGCCTATTGTAGTAATGTTGTCTCTGGTATTCTGGTCTGTGAGCGTAAATGCGTTTAGGAGGCGTGGCTTTGGACGGCGATTACAGGGAGGGTGGGACATTCGCTTTCAGTGCTATCAGGCTAAAGTTAGCATTTTCCAAGATCTCCTACTGCACCTTTAAAAAGGGGCAGTTATTTAAAATAGAACTGTTTTGTAATATTATAAATGTTTTCACTGTCCCTTTTGATCAATTAAATATAAATAGGGGGTAGCGGGGTGATTTGTGCCTGTGGGGAAGTTGAGCCACCCCATGTTTCTAGACATCCTTTGGTGATATGTTGGTGACAGTTGGTGATATGAACTCAATTATATGAAGAGTTAATCATTTAACTAACCCTGTGATGGAGAGAATCACATGGAATAATTGGTAACTACATTTAAGTTAAAAAAAAGTTTTTTGCTGTTCAAAGTGAATTGTGTATGTTGAAGGACTTGCTTCTTGTGTCTGAACAATTACAGCCAACCTGAAAAAATGTCACACGTGTTTTGTGCTTTAGGAAGTTATAATATGAGTCTAAACTGTTAGCATGATGTTAACTCTAAACTGCTGGATGATACAAGTTTGTTAAAATGGTAGGAGTGGGGTAATTTGAGCTGAAAGTCCTGGGGTAAGTGGCTCACCCCTTCTTATGATTATAAAGTATTATTTTACTGTAATTCTACATTATATATAATTAATTTTAGACCAAACATTTTTGATTTTGTTCTTTGTTTTGAACTTGATTTGTATTTTAAATAAGCCTTGTTTATGAAAATTGGCCATTGAAGTTTTTATGAAATAGTTTTTCCCTGCAACATTTATAATGGGATGTTGAGTACTATTAGTCCAGTTCTGTAAGGTTAATTGCAGTCTGTTTTTTGTTTTTTTAATTCTTCAGTTTGAACTTTATTTTGTTCTGAATTTCTTCAAATAATTTTTAAAAATTACCTCAAGGTTGTGAACTGTATCTTTAAATAAAACTTTTAAGAAGTCATCCATCCATCCAATTCCATTCTATTATCCAAACCTCTTTGTTTTATTAGGGTTGCGGGGAGCTGGAGCCTAACCCAGCGTCTTGAGCCACAGGTGGGGAAACTCCCTGGATGTATAGTCAGTCCTTCACAAGGCTCACATAGATTTTAAGTCTTTTCTTTTATTTCTCTTCCTTTGATTTAACATTAGGTGAAAATGTTCAGTTTTACTTCCGCATAATCAATGGCACAGTTTAACTCCATGTGGCTCAACTTACCCTCTCCTAGGCTCAATTTACCCCACCCTGGGGGCAAGTTGAACCAAGAGACCAATTTATTTTTATTTTTTTTTAAAGCAGTTTATTTTAGATCCAAAATGATTATTCCCAAGTAGGGCTGCACATTAATCGAATGCGATTGTCATGCGCATTTTGTTAAAAAAGCCGGTTCTGTAATCAGCAGGAGATCATCATCACGTGCTTTCAGATGGAGCAGAATTTACTACACATAGCCGTAGGTCACTGACAAGTTACGCAAAAAAATCGCAGACGATTTTATTGCGCAATTCTGAAATCGAAGAAATCGTTCGCGATAATGACAGCTGTTTGCATAGCTTCTCAGTGAACTACGGCTCTGTGTAGTAAATGCTGCTCCATCTGAAAGCATGTGAAGAGCGCCTTCTGGCCTTTGGATGGAGATTTACTGCTGATCACAGAACAATGCTTCACTGAAAGATACGCATGCCAATCGCAGCTTCTGTAGAATCGCGATCTCGATTCCATTTCGATTTATCGTGCAGCCCTATTCCCAAGGATGCACCACATTCTGAAATTTATGTACATATTTAAGTTGGACCCATTACTGTCGTGTGCTCGCTTTAAACACACCGTAAGTAAAAAACTGGCTCAACTCACCCCGCTCTCCCCTATCTAATGCTGGAAATATTATCATTTTGAGATACAGAAAATGCAGACAAAGATGCTGAAAGAGATTTGTTTTCTTTATTCCTTCTGAAGGTCAAATGTCTGTCTCTTGGCCTAGAGAGGGACAACTGTGTGGTGCTTATAGATCTCTGGTCACTTCCTCCCCATATGGATCAGCTCAGATACAGCTGCTCTGAGGCACCATGTGTCTGGTGTTGGATGACTCTGTGAGTATGAGACACAGCAGCTGAGCCGGGGCACACACCACCCTGTGGTCTCTAGCAGTTGGTTCATGTATGTACACACTAAAACTTATGTTTGCCCACATGCAGAGAGTCATGCAAGTCGAGAGATCTTTTGTCTGAAAATTACACAGAGCACATTATATAAATAAGGAAATAAGGAACCAAATAAGGAAATAAGGCAAATATGTGTATATAGTGCATATAAGTTTGTATACGTGTGTGTGTGTTTCCACAAATATAAAAAACAATGAGAAAAAAAATATTAAGCAGCACAGCTGTTTACAATATTGATGATAATTGATAAGAAATGTTTCCTGCGCACCAAAACAGCATATTAGAATGAATTCTGAAGGATCATGTGACACTGAAGATGGATGCTGAAAATTCAATTTTGCCATCACAGGATTAAATTACATTTTAAAATATATTAAAATAGAAACAGTTATTTTAAACTGAAATAATATTTCACATTTTTTAATTTTCTTCTTCTGTTTTTTAGGCTGAATCTTGCTCCGCTCCCTGAATCTTTCACATAATTGGGTCTCATTTCTGTAACTGAATAAAATCCGGTACACTCCTCTGCCATGCAAGGTCAGCAGATGTACACTCAAATCTGCCTCTCCCTTAATTCCAAGATCATGCATATTCCATGTTATGTGAGGAAAAAAGAAAGACAAAGGGGGGTGTGGCCAATCAAATAACCCTGGGGACAGGCGGTGTAGCCGCCTCCTCATCAGCACATACACACACACAAGGCAGAACCTGCTGCTCCATCCATCCACACAGACAGACTGATACTTTCTCATTCAGCTCTCGTGTCCATACACTGCATCACGGTAAGACTTTCTACACTCCAATATTCTGGATGCTTTAAGAGGTGGCTTTGTGTTCTTTCTACTTATTTTCATAAAGATAGTCTGACGTCTAGATTCTCAGAGAAATTTCTCTGAGAAGCAGAGCACAGAAGAAAGACAGAGGCGAGACATTCCCAGTTCCCATAAAGACAGCATGGCCAACAGTCATCTGACTTGGCAGATTGGAAATGATTTTAAGGAATACATTCCTATGTGTTATCAAGTCTGATTTCTGAAGTCTGATGAAAATGTTACACAATTTAAATGAAAAAGAATGGGTGAGACATTGGTCAAATGATGCCCTCACTAAACTCCACTGAAGATGTTTTGGTTCATTTTTGTTCTGTTTAAGCTTGATGAACAAATATGAAGTTATTTGTATAAGTAAAATTACATATATTAAACTTGCAGTTTGTTTGGTCTAGTGCAGAAACATGGCTGACAAGCCCAACCTGACGGAAATCACATCCTTTGATAAAACCAAACTCAGGAAGACAGAGACCCAAGAAAAAAATCCCTAGCCTACCAAAGAAAGTGAATTTCTGATCCCGAAACAGTGGCTAAGGATCTCATGGTGATTATGTTATGATCAATATTTTGTTTTGTTTTTAATATATTGGTCATTTCTCAATTAAAAATGTGTAATTGACAGTAATTAAATTCAAGAAACCAATTGCATATGAAATGAAGTAAATATTTCAGAGTGTGTATGAGATTATCTAGAATCATCAATTCATCCTATAATTTGATTTGGAAAGTAATCTATAAAATATAGCCTAGTTTTAAAAATCCTCTTGAAATACGTAATAGTATAGTAAATATGCATGTTTTTTTCCACAGTTTTTTTTAATGATATGCAACAAGTTATTTCAAGTTATTTTTTAATCACGTTATTTTTTTCTCTTGGTCTGCAGAATAAAATCAATTAACTTTGTATTCACTTAAAACACTTCTCAAAGCCTGTCTTCTTGTGGAACCATTTTTTCTGCAGCTATTGAACAGGAGAGGCAGGGAGAGTCCACGCCTTGAATGCTGCTTTTAACCGCAGTCACACACAGCAGAGAGTGAAGGGAATGACTGAAATCCACAGGAGAGGGACTTTGGGAGGAATTGAACCAGTAACTGATGTGTCATTTGTTTCATGGTTTAGTTTGTTTGTTCGAGAACTAAATAAAAAGAAATGTAGGACATTTCTACGAATGTATTTTATCCAGTGGGGCCAGACGATCATTCAAATGCATTAACGGTATGACTGCCAGCATATTCCTAACCATTTGTTACAAGTCCTAACACATTCTAAACAAGTCCTAACACATCCGAAGCAATTCCTAACCAGTGTTGGGGGTAACGCATTACAAGTAATGCGAGTTACGTAATCAGATTACTTTTTTCAAGTAACTAGTAAAGTAACGCATTACTTTTTTAATTTACAAGAAAATATCTTTACTTTTAAAAGTAACTTTCCCCAACACTGTTCCTAACACAAGGCCTAACAATCCTAACATTAAGGTGATGGGCTCGAATTCCTCGGAAACTATAGTGTTATGGTTATAATTTACGCAACAAACATACAAAACACGAAGAGGTAAATCCCATGCGTTAAATAGAATTCACTGGTTATTTCTAACGTAGCTAGCCTACTTTCCTATGCTTGCATCGCGTTGTATATTTGCAGTGGCTGTTCACACAAGACATCAGCAACGACGTCTATAAACTCTTGGTAAGAACGCGTCAACAAAACATGAATATAGGCCTACAATTATTATTATTTTATTAGTAAAATAGAGCATTCAGAACGCCTGACACTTCATTTTACCACTAGATGGCACTATAGAACTACCGTTCGGTGCCATACATCCTAACTAGCTTGTTGTTCATTTATAACTATAAAACTATGATGCAATTAATATTAAATATTAAAATAATAATTGTACAAGTTTTGTCAGGCATTTTAGCTGTGTTTTAAGTTTGCTGTGTTTAGAATGCATGCATTCCCATAGCACATGTAGTCTATAATCCTACATTATAAATCGTATGTTCAAACTGCTTGTCCTCTGTAGGGTCGCGAGGATGCTGGAGATCGTACATTATATTAATACAAAATGTATATTATATATTATAATATAATATAGCTCTATGTAACCTTCTGCGTGGACAGATTGCAAGACATCTGGGTGTGTTTATTGGTGAAGTAATGAATGTCTAAATGCTGAGTAAAACTGCGGTGGTGGTTCAATTGAATGTGTTCCTACTTTTGACACACCGACGTATACCAATAGGCTACATGACTGAAACATGAGTGCATTACAGTTTCTTTTAATACGCAAGGCTTTAGATTATAAACAAAGTCACATTTGGAGATAGAAGCATTCAGTTTGTTAACATAAAAAAGGAAAATTCAAAATGATATAGTCATGAATTAACAATCAAACTCAGTATCTGTCAATCTGACGCAAATTACTGTAAAATAGCTTTAAAAAAAAAAAAAGATGAGAAAATGAAGCTGGCACCAGCTGGTGTAAACATTACGTTATACCGGTTAGACCAAGAACTGCATGACTGAGTCTCAAGGTTGATGACGAGAAGAATGCGATAAGGAGAGTATTAAACAACATAACAGGTGGTTTTGTTTACCAAAGACGCTATCAGTGCAGTAGTGAGTTCACTGTTTCAGCCAAACTGGCACTGAGCCATGCCCGCTTTCAAAATCAAGCATTATCAATAACAATAATCTGATTGTGAACCAACAAATGTCAAGGGAGATTATAAATATAAATTAATAGATATAACATATATTGTCATAATGTTTTATTATTTTTCCTGGACAAAAATATTTTAACATAACTTCATTGCTTATTAATATTTGTCATAAAAAATGTGATTACATGTGACCAACAAAGACACATGCTAGAGAAACAATCAGCAGACCCTCACGACTGTGTGTCAGGGAAAAGAAGTCTCTCAAAATACCAGATAATTTGAGTTTGATTAGTTTTAGGTCATAAAATGTAAACATTTGTGAGTTGTTGAAAATGGTATCAGTTTTGTTTTGTTTCAAAATTATATGGAGCACATTTCTGTGGCCAATTAGAATTTTAAAATATTGAAAATAATTTACTTAGAGAAAACAATCATCTAAGTATCATTCTCAAGTCACATTTGTAATGGCACACAGTTAGAATAAGAAACAAACTGCTATCAGAAGGCCTGGCCAGTTACTGGTCATCGTTCAGGCACAGAATGGATGTGCAATGTGCATTGCCCTGGCAGCACTTTATTATTTCTCAGTATCAACAAAGTGGTTTTCTAGGAACATGACAGGGTGTGTGTGGTCACATTCCCTCTCTCTCTTATCATGTACATGCTTCTGACTTTCTGGATTGAGGGTGGAAATACTAAAATGACACACTAAACTATAGTTAATTGAATGGGTGGCACTTCAAAAGAAAACAGATCTTGGTAAGGTTTGGATATATTGCTTTATCCAAAACTAGGTTAAATGCAAAACTGCTATCACAAACGAAAGCACTCCTGATATTACAATGACGTGAAGGTGCCCAGTTCAACTGATCATGTTCCAGAGAGTTTTATTAAAAGTCTTTCTTACATGACTACAGTGCTCTGGTTCTCAGGAGCTGCCTTTTTGTACTTTCCACTATGTGACCTCAGACAGAACACGCTCTATTGTTGCTGCTACACTGATCTGATGAGAACACTAGGATCTAGGCTGGAGGGTAAAGAAGTAATATTTACAATATTCATCCTACAAATGGAAAGCATCATTAAAATTAAAGGAATAATCGTGAGTTTAGAGTTTAATACAATTTAAACTCAGACGACATTTGTGGCTTAAATTTTTGTGGCTATCATCTTTGTGGCCTTATCTCAAATTATGCTAAAATAGGTTACAGAGGCACTTACAATAGAAGTGAATGGAGACAATTTGTTGCAAGAGAACAGCTACAAGTCGTAAACAATATGCTTGCTAACCTTTTCTGTGTAGTTATACCCAATATTGAACTTCACAGCTCAAATAACGCACAATATTTAACAGAATGAATGCAAGTGGTTTTTATAAAATAAGCTCCACATTTCTTTTACATTCTCCAAAAAAATTGTCTCACTCACTTCCATTGTATCTCGTTGTAATCCCGATTTTTTTTCTTTTTCAGTCTTTTTTTTATCAACATTATGATGGTGATTTGTATTGAATTGGAAATATTTCTTTAAATAATCGGAATACATTAACTCTACATATCAATTATGTAGAAACAATTTTTAGTCAGAAATTGCTAGTAAATTTCAAAATTACAAAGAAAGGGGGAAATAACACATCAAACTTAACATGAATTGAACAATTCTGAAGTAGAAAAACTGTAATTTACACTTTTACAGTGTACATGATATCTGTTATTTTAAAAACTTAAAGAGACTAGTAAAAATATATAGTTTTGATTTAGTTTTATTCCAAAATGTCATATTACATCCAGAGAATGAATAGCAAACAGTACAAAAATCATCATCCCAACTGTTTATTTCTGGCATATATGACTTAAATGCCCTTCATAGGGTCATAGTTCCACTACAAAAATAAAATAGCTGCATTTGAACTATCCTCGGATAGTAAAAATGTAGATTACATAGTTACCTTCAAAATGGTTGTAAATAAAGATTAAGGAAGGCACTGAATCAAACAGCAGCAGAAGCTGCATTTTCACCATAACATCCACCAAACTCAAAACGCTCCTCCCCACAACAGAAACACTTGATCTGAGCATTTCATTATTTAGATAAAGTAAAAAATAAAGCATGGAGGCAATAATGAAGGAATCCACAGCTGGTGTGATCATCCCTCAGAACATGAGCACTGGTAGAACAGGATGAGTCAGTCCATTTTTCCACACGAGCTGGAGACATCAATCACATATCCATCACAAACTGGTTGTCATCAACTGTGGAGAAAAAGAATGAGACAGAAGGGTTAGAGGGTTCAAACTAGTGTTGTGTCACTGTGATCTCTTCCTAAAAAATCCTTTGAACAGTGTCACTCCTTTCACACGAAGCACGGTACACCCTGTGGATATTCCCCTGATATGGAAATCAGACTTGTCAAACTCTGAGCAGGTCAGATGCATTTTTGTTTGCTTTTCTCATGTACTGACTTCAGTCAGACCAAAATGTGACCTTGAGCTTAGAATGAAGGGGGAAAAAAGAAAATAGAGGTGGCAGCCTAGGGCAATTTTTTTCAGTTAACTTTTTTATCAGTTTAACTATCAGCATAAATTCTTTGAGTTTTTACTCTACTTAGAAACACTTCAATTGTATTTTAAGACTTGCATTTGGGTCAGTTTTTTGTCTGGATGTATTAATTTAAAATACTTAGTGACTTGAATTCCCCTTCTTCTATGAGTATGTTTTTAACTTCTGAATTAACATGTTTTTAGATCTTACAATTGTTTTTATTTATTTATTATTAAATAATAATTAAAATAACATAATAATTTATTAAATATTAAAATAAAATGTACAAATGTATTTGTGGTGTAAGGAAAAATGTTATTTATAATTAATTACTTGGTTACAGCACCTGACATTCTGAAAGTTATTAAACTGAAAACCTTTTTATGAAAATTACGTTTTCCAAAACCAAATGAAACCAGCATGACTACAAAGAGTACATTTCTAAAAAAAAAAAAAAAAGAAGATTTTTTAAAAGATTTTCTTATGACCACTTTTATTTGTCATTGACATACTATACGTAAACTCGCACATGAGACTTTATCACATATACTGTATTCCAGACAGAAAGGACGCAATCAATTATGAACATGCTTAAACCTGTTCCTCAGGTTTTGCTTGAGGCTGTTGATTTGGAAATTGTAAACTGTATACATTACATTACATGTTAGAGACGTCAGATGGGATTAAGATTAAGAACATGCTTCTTAAAGCAAGAGTAAGATAAAAAAAAAAAGAAAAAAAAAAAAGAGAGAAGTCACTTACCAGCGAGATCTTTGTTGCCATCCTCCTGCTCTGCTAGTTGCAGTGAGGGTCTGGTGACCCCTGGTATGTGGGGGAGGCAGCAGGGTGGGGTGTGTGCGATCGGCGAGTTTCGACATTCCAAAAGAAACTTTCGATCATAGATGATCCGAGTTCCTGCAGGGAAAATATCAATATTAGTT